ATGCGGACCAGCAAGGAGTCAGAGACGGACCAGCGGGTGCGCGCTTGGCGCTTGGTGCGGAGCGAGAGTCTGAGTGGCCTGTGGGTTTGCTACGCGCTCGGATCGGTCGAGCGGGTTCATGTCGGATCGCGCGCGTCGGTTCGGTTCAGTCGGAAAGAGTCCGATTCCGACGAGATGTTCGAGCAGTTCCTCTACTCATCCCTGTTCCAATTGCTCTTCCTTCTTCCTCCCCCTCATGGCCGGGAGTCTGCGGAGAATCCCAGAGGACCCCAGAGGCCTCTGCGTTTACCAGCGTGGAACCCAAGCGTGAGTTTGTGCACTGTGCACGTGTAGACTCGGTGGTGGAAGCAATGTGGTGCAAGCTACGTAGTGGAAACAATGGGGTGCATTCTAAGTGGTGCAAGCTATGTGGTGGAATCCACGCGGTGAAACAAATTTCTGTTTGCCGTACGTCGACAACGGTGGACGCGATGATGATGGAAGTGATGCTGGTCACTACGACTACGCAGACGACGGCAAGGCAAATGACGGCGCCTATGCTGATCACGTCCACGGCGATGACGGCGTCCCCGCGTCGGTGGTGAAAGTTTTGGACGGTGATCGACATGCCCTGCCCGCGCGGCCTACGCATGAGAGTGGCCCACATGGTATTATTTGACACGGAGCGTGCCTCCCCCCCACACCACGCGCGCAAGGGCGTGTGGCGCGATGGGCCCGTAACAAGTGATGAGCATGTTGAAAGCCGATGGTTCTCTGAAACATTCCGCAAGAACCCGAACGCAAACTTTTGGTATTGAGAACTCGTGATGCGAAGCCATGCCTTGTCGTAGTATGTTTTCGGGACATATGATATTGAACTCCTTACGCCCTTTTTTGTCAGGGTTTGAGCATACGCGCGCGACGACGAGCGCGTGTGCATTTCCTCCCATATGTTGCCAGGGGCGTTTGAAAATCTGGGATGTTTGATAAACGAATGCTCGCGCATAGAAGTTGTTTGCAAAAGGATGAGGGGGGGTACCGATACCGGCCTGCCTGGGATGGTACGAGAACAGATTTGGATGGACGATGAGGCAGCAACATTTTTGAGTTGCAATACGAAATGTGGAGACGGTAGTTCGTGTGTGTGCGGGGGGGATCCGAATGCTCTTTTCGAATGGAGATCCGAATTGGTGCACACCATGAGGTGCGAGCTGTTCGGTGCAAGCTCTCTGGCTCAAGCCCTGTGGGGGCAGCCCACGTGGTGGTGCAAGCAACGTCCGCCCAGCGCCCGCGAGGCCAGCCCCGGGGGGCGACCCGGCGCACACCCGGCACGGCCAGCCACCGCGCAGAGAGGGCGAACAAATCCGGGCGGCAAAACCCGGCAGCGCCGGCGCCAGCGCGCTTGAGGCGCCCGCGAGCGGCCAGGGGCTGCGGCGGGGCGAGGGCCCACAGAGGCATGCGCCAGGCAGGCGCGGGCAGCGTGGTGCGGGCCCGCGGCGGGTCGCTCTGCGGGAGCGCCTGGCCGAGCGGCCGGGGGCGCCCGATGCACTCGTGACGTCGCAGCGCCTCTCTCTCCCTCGGGCGCGCGCCTCCCCGCGGCCTCCCCCCCTTCCTCTTCCACCTCTTCCTCCTCCTCCTCCTCCTCCTCCTCCTCCTCCCTCCGCCGCTTCCTCCTCCTCCTCCTCCTCCTCTCTCCTTCTCCTCCCCCTCCTCTCCTCCTCCTCCTCCTCCTCCTCCTCCTCCTCCTCCGCTGTGCCAGCGGTCTGTGTGGGGCGAGCTGCTTGGTGGGGGGGGGGGGGCGCAGCGTGCGGTCTACAGCGGGCACCACGTGAGCGCCCACTGGTGGCCACCGGGCGAAGCCGGGGCGGACCCAGCCAGCGCGCGAGGCGGCACACAGGCGGCCTCCAGGCGAAGGCGAAACTTGGGCGGGCCCAGCCAGCGCAAGGGGCGCGCACGAGACGCACACGGGCGGCCCACCAAGATTGCCGCAGGCGAAGCTTTGGCATACCCACCCAGCGCACATGTCGCCCACGATGCGCCCTCGATTGGCCACCATGTGGCCGCCCCTCCAGCGGACCCACCCATTCACTCACCAACAGAAGCCAGAAGCCGAACCAGTGCAGGCACCAAGAACTCCCGTGCGCGTGCACTCTTCGAGGCTTTATTCAACAGGTTGGTTGTGGATCCTCGATCCTCCCCCTTCTCGGCTTCAGTCGGTCGGGGTCCCAGGCATCCGCCGATCTGATCCTTCAATCCGCGGCCCCAGAGGTCCCGACCGCTTCCGTGGGGGTATCCCTGCGCCCAGGATCAGGAGGAGGAGGAGCAGGAGGAGGAGGAGGAGGAGGAGGAGGAGGAGGAGGAGGAGGAGAAGGAGGAGGAGGAGGAGGAGGGGAGGAGGAGGAGGAGGAGGAGGAGGAGGAGGAGAGAGGAGGGGGGAGGAGGAGGAGGAGGAGGCGAGGAGGACAAGGAGGAGGGGAGGAGGGGAGGAGGAGGAGGAGGAGGAGGAGGAGGAGGGGAGGAG